GAGTGTAAGTAGTTGACTTAATATAATTTTAAGAAAACTTAAAATTTGTAAATTTTGTTGTTTTTGAAAGGTTTTTTAATGAGTTTGCAAGTTGATATTTTAAAACTTTTCTGGTATATATAAAATAAATAGCAGAGCAAGTTTACTTAGAGCACCAAAGTAAGTTTGCTTAATAGTTTAAGAAGTTTCAGATAATAAGTTACGAATAGCTAAAGTTAAATAAATTAATGTTTAATTTTTCCATTGATCAGCCATAAATGATAAAAATCCAGCAGCAATTTTATAAGAAATTTAGCTAACATCATATAGAGATGGGTTGTAGTCAATAATATTTTGTATAATTTCTAATTTTTTTTTAGAAATTAAAGGCTTATTATTATTTTTTGTGTTAATAGTCATCTAAAGTTTTGTAATATATTGTGCAGTTCCTAAATATAAATTATGCATTGGATTAATTACTGTAAAACAAATAAGATCCATATATAGAAGACGTTGCAAAGGAGTTCATCAAATTCCATATTTGTTAAATATATATTTTTTTTCCTTATTATTTGCATTTAACCAATTATTAGATACTTGTTTATGCTCAATATTACTAAGACGAGAAAATTCTTAATCAAATTCAGAAAATTTTATTTTTCCATGTTTTGAAAATATTAAAAATTTTTTAGTATATCTATAGCACCTATTTTTAGAAGAGTGTCCTGCAAATCCTGATATTTTACGAGCCACTGGTATATCACATGCAATAAGTATTAAAGCATCATGAAAAAGTTGACCATTAGGATATTTTGAAGTTTTGATCATAACTCTACTCTATAGTTTATCTAATTTATAAACAATTAGTTTGATATAATTATGAATCTTAGTAACCGAAGGCTCATAAGGCTCTGGAATTAGACCAACTAAAAAAATATTTTTAGTTTGATATCAAATATGCTGTGAAACATTTAAAATTATTAAATAAATTGCTCCAACAGATATTGGCAAATGCTTATATAGATTAAACCAGTCAATATTAAGTGAAAATCACAATCTTCCTTCAGCTGAATTACTAACGAAAAAAGTAGTTCTATCATTATCTTTAAATATATGCCAAACACAACCATTATATATATCAGAAAGTAAATCATTTAGTGGTAATGAACGTTTGTAACAAAATTCTAATGCTTCTTCTATTTCAGAAAACAGAAGAATTTTTTAAGATGCGAAATAATTGAATAGTAAGGATAGTAGACTTATTTTGGGACTTCTGGCACAATTTTTGTTACCAATATCAATCTTGCATATAATTTTACTTTTGCGTCATCAAATTAATAAAAATTATCTAGAACACATTTATTTACCTAAATTTATATTAAAAAGGATGTCATTTTTCATAGTAGGGTATAAATTTGCTTTTGTGTCATCACTAGAATAATGATAAATTTGTGGTTGCGTCGTCATTCTTGTATAGTAATATCATTTTTTGTATATCTAGAATACAATCTTCTGCTCAAATTTATATCAAAAAGATAACAATTATTTATACTATCTTGTTTGCTATCATTTACGCATCAAA